TGTTAGGGACCCAGTTGAGCCAACATCTGCCACCTCTCAGGGTGCACATATCCAGCACAGAGAATGGAGCCACTGCTCAGATGCAGGTGCCTTCGCTGCTGCCCTCAATGCTCGCCCCTAGTGACCCTCCTTAAGATGGATTCAGGTCTAGGGAAAGCTGCACTATGAAGGATCATAAAGAAGGGTCTTTATTGCTAGGAGCATCAGGAATTTTGAGACTGGTGGCTGCTAATTGGCAAGTGGTGAAAAAGAACTCATTTGAAATTGCAATTTCACCAAGAGATGGGTCGGGGGAGGTGGGGCAGGGCAGGAGTTCTGTGTGAAAGGATAAGGATACAGAGGTTGGCAGGACTGAGGTGGCCAGTGGAGCAGCAAGGCCCTGGGCATTACGGTAGAGCTCAACACTATTGGGCAAAAAGCACATCTGGAATTCTAGGGGTTGTGTGGTAGGGTTGTGTGGTAGCAACAGAACACAGGACCTTCACAGCTGCACCTGTATCTGATTGTGTCTGATGTGGGCATTAGGCCTAGAGAGGTGGTCTTCATTTACTGCCTTTTAAAAAAGCTCACCATTTTTCTATTGTCATGCTTTGTGTCTAATTTCTTCTCTCAATAGGCTCATGTTTGGTGCCCAGATCTTTTACTGAACACACAGATGACCCCCCAAACTTTACTTGTTTCCATTACTTAATGTTTTTCCCCCAAAGTGAGTTCTTTCCTTGCATTTTGAGTGCTGTATTCTCTTTATTGCTGAATTTCTTTCATGGATTTTTTTTCTGTTTACTCATCCTTCAGAAAGGGAGAGGCGAATGCTACCTGCGTGTTTCCCATGAACAGAGTGAGTTTGGGGGCAGGAGGGAGGGACAGTGGTCCTGGCGCCCTTCACTCTGTGCCTGGATGTTGTGGATGATGGTAGGATTTTCTGCTCATCTCAGGAACTAGACAGGCATGGGGTGATATAAATTTTGGTATCTCTCATGTATCTCAAGAGTATGTTATTTCACTGTCATTCCTTTCCTGGTTTTATTGAAGCCATTCTGCTTAGAGCTTTCTGTTGGGTGGGACTGTCACAGTGAATACATAGATGTGACTGCCCAGTGTCTGCCTGGCGCTGCTGTTTACTGCACCAGGAGAAACCCGCAGCGTGCTATCGGGGGCGCTGACTTTCAGTGCTGCTGAGAAGAATGTCAAGTGGTGCTTTCCCAGGGAGCACCATGCCTCCTTCCTGAGCTTCCTGCTCTTGGACTGAAAGAGGAGGTGAGGCTCTCACATCCTGGTTCCCTTGATGCCTTACTTCCCCAGCAGTGGGCATGGTTAACTAATATGGATACAAACCCATAGTCCATTTAATGTTCTTAACTTCAATTTTTTAAGATTTTTTAGAAGATTTTATTTGAGAGGTAGAGTTACAGACAGTGAGAAGGAGAGACAGATAAAAGTCTTTCATCTGCTGGTTCACTCCCCAAATGGTTGCAATGGTTGGAACCGAGCTGATCTGAAGCCAGGAGCTGCTTCTGGGTCTCCCTTGTGGGTGTAGAGGCCTAAGCACTTGGGCCATCTTCTACTGCTTTCCCAGGCCATAGTAGAGAGCTGGATAGGAAGAGGAACAGCTGAAACTCGAACCGGCGCCCATATGGGTTGCCTGCACGGCAGGTGGAGGATTGACCTACTGCCCCACAGCACCAGGCCCTTAAGATTTATTTATTTGTAAGGCAGAGTTAGAGAGAGAAAGAGAGATTGGTCTTCCATCTGCTGGTTCATACCCTAAATGGCCTCAGTGGCCGGAACTGAGCAAAGCTGAAGCCAGGAGCGTTCTCTGGATCTCCCACATGTGTTCAGGGGCACAAGTACTAGGGCCATCTTCCTCTGCTTTCCCAGGCACATTAGCAGGGAGCTTGGTCAGAAGTGGAACAGCCAGGACTTGAACCAGCACCCATATGGGATGCTGGCACCACAGACAGCGATTTAGCCTACTACACCACAGTGCTTGACCCTCACTTGTTTTCTGACCGGCTACAACTAGTTTTTAGTTCACAAAAGTGACATTGGACTAATACTAGAAATAAGACCTTGTGGCCAGTGTGATCGTGCAGTGGGATAAGCTGCCTCCTGTGAGGTATTCCATATGTGCAACAGTCCAAGTCCTGTTCAAGGGTGCTTTGACATCTGATTCAGCTCTCTGATGATGTGCTTGGGAAAGCAGAAGATGGCCCAAGTACCTGGGCCCTTGCCACTCACACGGGAGACCTGGATGGAATTCTGAGTTCCTGGCTTCAGCTTGGCCCAGCCACTGCCTCTCTAAATCTGTCTTCCAAATAGATAAATCTTTAAAAAATAAAACAGTTATTAACTTGTCTTAGGAAAAGAAGAATCAACTCATTGTTATATTTAGTTCTTGAACTGTTAACATTACTTTTCAGCTGCCGCTTCATCCAGCAATCTCTAAACTATGTGCATTTTGGAAGGCTGGCTTTCTAAATCAATGAACCGTTCGACCTATGAGTCCACGGAAGAACACTGTGCTAGAATATGCCTTCAAGTTTTTTGTTTTGTTTTCTGGAAAGCAAACAAGTGGTAACATTTTGAAATTGTTGATGCCTGAGAATGTCTTCATTGGATTCACATACACTTGGCAGCTCTATGAATAGACAGATATCTTGAATTATACCATTATTATTCTCAAAAATTGACAGTTATTCAATTACCTTCTGGTGATTGGCATGGTACAAGTCTATGGCCAACCTGAGTTTTTGCTGTTTTGTAAGCAATATGTTTCCTTTTCCTAAAGATGTTCACATTCTTCCTTTGAAATAAAAATTTACAGTGGCTTATGTCTGGGCCAGCAAAACTCCTTTAATGAGAGCTGCTCCTTTTGGTTTTCTGGAAGCTATTATCACACGTCATTAGGGTCTTCTGCTCCGACTTCTGTTGGTCTTATATTTTCACTCTTTTCTGGCTCATCCTTTCTTCTAAAGTTTTAAAAATTATAATGAGTCATGTTAGAGATTCATTACAATTCCTGGTAGAATCTCTAAGCTTCAAATGAAGGGAAAAATTTCCTAGCAGTTTAAATGTATTCTCATTTTACTTTGCCAGTCGAGAGCTCAGGCAGCCTCAGGGGGTAGGTGGGCCCCTTGAGGTGAGAGTCAGAACTGGAGGCCGACTTAGCCAGGAATGTGTTTTGCTAAAGAGCTTCAGTCTTTATTTGGAACAGCAGACAGGGCTCATTGCTGCCATCTCCCCCTCCTTTGGCAGGCTGACTGTCCGCTGTGAGAGTGACTGGCGGTCCCTTCCCTGCCAACTCCCTGTCCTGTGCTGCCTCTGAAATCCAGGCAACTTCTGAGGGCTGATGATGGCATCGCAGGGTGCCCACGGCCCCCAAACCTGCAGGGGTCTCCGTTTTTCCCCTTGACGCATTTCCTTTTTGCTTGTTGAAGATTGAAGTTTGCCTCTACCGGACTTGTCAGTCCACTCATCTGTATTTTACATCATTGAATTGCCTGGGATTTCTTCTCTTTGGTGTACCCACTTGACAACTTTTAAAGGTTGACCCAGGGTTTTTTCCTCAGTCTTTATTGTTCGTTATTTTCAAAGAGATCAGGAGAGGCATAGTTTATACCTTGCAAGTAATCCTAGTATGTCACATGAAAGCAACTCTGGGGATATTTGGAAGTCAGGAGAAGGGGAGAACAGATTGTATAAATCAATGGGAAACAGACTTGACAACAATTCTAAGATCCCACTAAAATTTTGCAGTGTGGTTACCAGTGATGATCAAGGTCATCGAAGAACAAGGACCTTAATTGTAACAACTGCCTTTTTAGAAAACCACCATGAGTCCCATGTTCTATTGATTTCATTTAATGTTTATAACATCTGGGGAAATTTGGTGTTTGGTTCTTCATTTTATAGATGATACATTGAAAAGTGTGAGTTAAACCTGTTTGTGTTCCAGGTCTGTTTGTTGGCTGTCAGAGAGCCTGAGGAGTTACAGTCTCCAAATCTGTGTGATATTTACTACGTTAACTGTTATTACAGTTTTTACAAACAGGATTTATTTGAAAAGCAGAGTGACAGAGAAACAGAGAAATCTTTCATCTGCTGGTTCTACTCCCAAATGCCTTCAACAGCTGTGGCTGGGCCAGGCTGCAGCCATGAATCTGGAACTCCATCAGGGCTTCCCATGTGGGTGCAGGAACCCAAGTTATCAGGCCATCATTTGCTACCTCCCAGATGCATTAGTAGGAAGCTGGGTCAGAAGCATGGCCAAGTCGAGACTCAAGCCAGGCGCTCCGATATGGGATGAAGGTGTCCAGGTGGCACTTTAACTCACTGTGCCATGATACCCATGGGGCTGTGACTAACACTGTGATGATCTGTAGGCCTTTGCCCACTCCCATATATGCTAAGTCCTTCTCTGTGCAGGTAATGCTCATATAAACCTAAGAACATTTGCTTTCTCAGAGTGTCTAGGACTCCTCCGTTTATTGTCTGTCATCATTTGCTTTAATGAGGGTATTTATCTGCTTTTAGGGAGAGGCTTCCTGTCCAGAATACTGAGCTGTCATCTGTTAGCTCTCTATGGTAGCATCAGAGGTCTCAGTCTTCTCACCTGTCCTGGAACATCTGTGGCCATTGCTGGACAGAGCACCTTCCACAGAGCAGAAGCTCAGGAGGTGTTGGTGATGCTGCTGCTGGCCATCCTTTACTACAACCAGCTAGAAGTCTGGAAAAAGGGCACAATGATTGATCATTTAGAAACTCACACTGGTGAATGTGAGGCAGGTGGTCAGTGCATGGGCACAGGAGAAAAATGCTTTCTGATTTAACAGTGACAAAAGTGTATGTATTGGGTTTGTCACTTGCTCCCTTGTCCCTGTAATTTTTTTTTCTAATGTATTAGAATAAATAAAACCCTGTGGTGACTACAAGACGGGTCACTACCAGGACAGGGTCATTGTTCACTTTTTGAGTTCTAACACAGTCATTTTTCCTCCTAGGTTACGGTCTCTGGTGAAACAGCTGGAAAGGGGGGAGGCCTCGGTGGTGGATCTGAAGAAGAATCTGGAATATGCAGCCACGGTGCTGGAATCTGTGTACATTGATGAAACCAGGTGGGCCGAGGACAAGGGGTCGGTGCAGGGAGGCTGCGTTTCCTGCCCAGTGGCTTTCCAAATTGCCTCCCGTGACTGGGAGGGGTTCCCACTCAGACGGCTCGTCTTGCAGCAACCACAGGGAGTGGAGTTGAAGGAGTCCCTCACCCGCTGAACTTCCTCTCCTCCAGAGTTTCTCTCATGTGGCCCTTGACAAGGAAGTGAGGGGATGTAAAAGAACAAGTCACTTTAAAAAATCTGGTACCGTTTTTACCCAGGGTAGAGTTCTACCATCGTCACGGGACGTTGTTAGTGTCAGTCTGCAGATTATGTCTATGTTTTAATTCACGCCATCCGTCTCACAGTGGAGGCCCCGGAGTGGAGGGAGAAGCACGTATGCTCTTAAGCTCACAGCTTTCCTTCTGCACTCTTACGTGCACTGTCAGTTTTCTAGAACACGTTTGCTGCTTGGATTCTCTTAGAGTATTAAAGTGGTGTCAGGTATGGAGCGCATTTGAAAGTGACAAAATTACTTTTGAAAAAATACTCAAGTGTTGAATATGAAAGAGCTAACAATTTTTTTTTATGAGACAAGTTTCTTTGTCAGTATTTAGTATTTGTGATGTCTTACTTTGCTTTGCCCAATTCCAATCTGCAGGTATTTCACTGGAATCTAAGAATTGTAGGATTCTTTTCTTTTTCTTCTTATTTTGTGATATGCTTTGTTCATAATTTAAAGAAATTTGATGTCACATTTTCCCCCAAATGTTATGTTTTCCTCCCTTTCTTCCGGTCAATATATCTAAGGGGGAAATCAGTTTTACACTGACACCTGCTTTTGTTGTTTATTGTTTATTCTTAGTGGGACTTAGTAAAAGTATAAGCCTTGATTTTAGAGGGCTGCATTGTGGTGCAGTGGGTAAAGCTGCTGCCTATGATGCCAGCATCCCCCATGGGCTCCAGTCCGTGTCCTGGCTGCTCTGTTCTGATCAGCTCTCTGCTAATGGCCTAGAAAGCAGGAGATGGCCCAAGTGTTTGGGCTCCTGCACCCACGTGGGAGACCTGGATGAATCTCCCTCTATTACTCTCTGTAAATCTTTCAAATAATTTTTAAAAAATTGATTTTTTTATGAACACAGCTATCAGAGGACTGTAACCATTGTGCTCAAATATAGAGCTGCAGTATTTTGGAATTTTGCTTGAATTTAGACCGTTAAGTTTCCATAACATCCCAGAAAACTAGAAAGTTGACCTTACTTGTTTTCATTACTTCAGAGAAGTGAGTTGCTGTGATTAGGATAGTACTTTGCAAATTCTTTAAGTATCCTTTATTAAATATTTATTTACTTATTTAAAAAGAGTTGGGAGGGGAGTTAGATTGTCTATCTGCTGGTTCACTCCCCAAATGACAGCAATAGCCAGGGCTGGGCCAGGTTGAAGCTAGAACTTCACCCAGGTCTCCCAGGTGGGTAGCAGGATCATCTACTGCTTTCAAGGTACATTAACAGGGAGCTGGATTAGAAGTGCAGTAGCTGGAACTCAAACTGGCACACCCATAGGCGATGCCTTGTGACCCCAGCAATGGCTTAACCTGCTATGCCAGAACACCCCAAAAATAACTTATTCTATAAGTGGGCCCTGTGGCATTTATTATAGACCCCTTCTGAATACATTTGAAAAAATTTAAGACATAGACACAGATACACACAGCAATTGAGAGGTTGAAAGAGAGAGACAATGTTCCCTTCTGTTGATTTACCCTGCTAATACCTGCCTACAATGGCTGAGGCTGGGTGCACCTGAAGCCCCAAGATGGAAATCAATGCAGGTGTCCCATATGGGTGACAGAGACCCAGCAACCAGAGCCATCATGGTTGCATTAGCAGGAAGCTGCCGCCAGGAACCAGAGGCAGGTATCAAAGCCTAGGCACTGAGGTACAGGAAGCAGTCTTAACTGACATTTAGGTCAAACACATGCCCCCTCAATGCATTTTGTAAGTGGAAGGGTTAAATTCACCTCAAATACCACAGATATTCTAGGAATAAAGATGCTGGGTGCGCTCGGAGCCCGTGCTGGTTATAGACTTGCCTTCTCTGGTCTCCTCGTTCCTCTGTTCAGTGTGTAGAGGGAGCCATCTTGAAATATCAGCAGTGGGAATAAGCTTGACCAACAAGTCATTGTGTTTTGGGGGTGTCACCTAATTTGGTGCTTTGTGCCTGTGCAGCTGGGGTAGAGGGGAGCAGCTCTTTTCAGTGACTCCGACCTCGGGTTGAACGTGCGCCCTGGTTCTGTTTCCTGTGCTCAGGCGACTCCTGGATACAGAGGACGAGCTCAGTGACATCCAGTCGGATGCCGTGCCTTCCGAGGTCCGAGACTGGCTGGCCTCCACCTTCACCCGGCAGATGGGCATGATGCTCAGAAGGAGTGAGGAGAAGCCCAGGTTCAAGAGCATCGTCCACGCAGTGCAGGCTGGGATATTTGTGGAGAGGTAAGAGGGTCATTCATGGCCATTCAGCAGTGCCATCAGCAAAAGTCACGTGAGAGCTTGGCAGCTGGAAGCTTTGCTCCAGCGTGTAGTTTGGATAGCTTTGTGAACGCTCTGCAGTTTGGGTGGAAATGTAGTCTTGTATGAGAAATGGCAAGAAGACATCTCTTAATCTCTGTAGCATCATTATTACAAGCTTTGGCCTTTGCTCAGAATTTATTAAACAGAAAAGATTTAAGTTCAGTCTCTATTTATATAAAATATTGATTTGAGAGGCAGATATGGGGAGGGGGCAAGGGGATAGAGAGAAAAAGAGAATGAGAAAGAGGTGGATGGATGGATTGATTCTGAGATTCCATCCACTGGCTCACTCCCCAAATGCCTTCATTAACTGGGGCTGGGTGAAGCCAAAGCCAGAAGATGTGAAATCAGTCCACAGCTCATAAAATGGGGAGTAGGGACCCAATTACATGAGCTGTGTATCACTGTCATCTCCCAGAGTCTGTGTTAGCAGGAAACTGTAGTCAGGTATCATCCCAGCTACTCCAATGTGGGACATGAGCACTTCATCTGCATCTTCGACTAAATCTCACACCAGTCTAATTTTAAAATAAGGAAACTGTCATACAAAGTACTTTGAGATGTGTCTATGGTGTCTGTATATAGAACACATTGGGGCTGCTTTCAGGTTGCTGATCCAGGAATTCAAAGCATTCAAATTCCCCATGGCACTTCAATTTTGTTACCTGTTTGGTTGTTTGAATTGGAATTGTACCCTTTATCCTGAAATATCTTCCAAAACTAGGTTTGTGACCCTTATGGCACAATTACTGGCTGTAGAAATGCCTTGATGAGTTCACCGATTACCCAGGACCGTTTTCTTACTCATTTTTAACTTCTCCTATGAACAAGCTTTTCTGAAGTTGTTCAGAGGTCTTCATTCACACTCAGGTGCTGCCCTGTGTTCTGCCCAGGCCATATTATGATTCTCTCCAATAGCTGAAATGACTTCCTTTAATAATGTGATTTCTAATCTGGGACACATCATCTTATTGTTTTGTTCCCAATGGTTTATGTGTTTACGGTTGCTTTAATTACTTTTTAAGTTTAATGGATTGGCCATGTAATTGACTATGAAAAATGACAAAGGAGTTTTAGGTTCCTTGGGACACCAGTAGCCATGACTTTCCCTGTTCCCCAGAGCTCAGCGTGAGTCTGCGTGCTGCTGATCTTGATTGGTAAGATGCCATGTTGAATCTTTTTCCTTTTCATTTTTGCCAGAATGTATAGACGGACATCAAACATGGTTGGACTGAGCTACCCACCAGCAGTTATTGAAGCATTAAAGGTAACACCAATGAGAAGATTTTACAGTGTGTGTGGTTCTTCATAAGGAGGACAGTTAAATTTGTTGTTAGAAAAGAGGTTTTCATGTATAGTATTTTTCCCAGTTATTCCTTATTCTTTAATTATTTTCTTTTTAAATAATATTACTGTCTTTTTAGCCTTCATCTTCCTAGTATTTTAAAAATCAAATTTTGCTTCATCCCCTTCTACTCCCTGGAATAGTTTAGGCTTTATACAGTTATCTGGCATTATGAGATTCATCTGACTTTGGCCATAGGCATTCAAATGTGTTATAGATAGAAATATTCAGCATTTGGAAGATTTCTGGTGGTTGTATGATTATGTGACTACCTAGTTCAAGTCTATTTTATAGAAACTCTTAGCAAGGTACTTTTTTTGTTAAAGACAGTTAATTCGAGACAGAGCTAAGGTTTGATATTGAAATGTGCAGCATATAGTAAACACTGACGTTCACGGTATGAATGCATAACCCAGAGACCTCGTACCCTTCTGTTTTCCCGAAACTCCCAGCAAGTCAAATATTCCTGTGGAAACCAGAGATGTTTCAGTTTGAATGGGCTAAATTTAACAGAGTCACTCTGTGGTCAGGCAAGTTCTTGGAGTTGACAGACTATTGCTAACAGCCTCAAAGCAGAGGCATAGCTCTGAGCAGGTGTTCATTCAGATCAGGTGATCTGGGTGTATTCCAGAGGTGCTGACTGATCTGGCTCCTGGATTCCAGGGTGGGGCTGTGTGTGGATAGTGCTTACACTTGCAGTTGGCCATTCACTCACGTGTCGTGTTCTTTGACCCTTGCTAAAGCTGCTTTGTCTTTCACTAAAACCTGAAAAATTTGTTATCTAATGTTATTTTCAGAACATAGTTACCTATTCACTCAGTTGGTGGTAGGAGTGCTTCTTGATTAGTGTGCTATCAGGAATGAGCCCCTTAGGATCATCAATTCATCATCCTTTTTGTTGTTTCAGACATTCTTTAGCTGATTTTGAGAGACCAACTATATACCCATTCTCACCTCTTTTTCTGTCTACATTTTCTGCTGCTTCTTAACTCATCTTAAAAGCAGAAAGGATACTCAGAAAGGAAACAGTGAGAAGGCCCACACTTTAAAACACTCCCGTTAACCCCCACTCCAATGCCCGATACATGCAGTATTTCCCATTTACTTGATGGATTCTCTTGGTGAGACCTGATGTTTCTCAGCACCCGTAGGAAGTTGCATTGCTTTTTGTGATTGAAGCTGAAATGTCCAGTGCATCTCTTAGAAACATTAAACGGCATCTTTTATCTTTAATTTGTTCCTTTATTGTGAACATAAATGTAGACAGGTATACTGATGCAAACATTTTGACAGTCTCTTCCTAAGCGAAGACTTTTTCTATGCAGAATATGGAACGATGCACACGTTGTCACTTTATACTTGGGGACAAGGACTTCTCAGATGCACACATCCTGAGGGGGGGGAGGGGGACTTGGATGATCCAGACAAGCACTATGTTCTGTGTCTGGAAATTGCTTCTCTTCCCCGATATGTGCATTGAGGCTAAAGCTGCTACTTCTTTTACTGAGGAAGTTCAAAGTACAATGTAATATTTTTTCCATTTCCCCAGACTCTGGTTTTATTTGCAGTGGTTTGGAGGCGAATTGAAGATATCAGAGATCTTTTCCCTCTTTGTACATGGTACCTGCTAGAAAAAAAGGTTATTTGAACCCTACTTCCAGCAGTGCATATGGGATCACTACTGTTTTGTCCTATTACAGAAAATTTCCCCAAAGACAAAGAATATAATTCACTGAAATAGCCATTATGCTAGTGACATGTTCACTTGTATATATGAACATGGCCAAAAGTGACATTTGAGTCAGAATCATTAGCCACTATTCATCTCTAGGTTTGGAATATATTGTATCTCGTTCTGTTTTTCTTGTTTGATACATACGAGCTTACAGTTTGAGGTGTTTGTCTCCGGCCTTCTGGGCTGGGTTTACTGGACATGCTGGGATGCTCCCTGCTCCAGAGGGTGTCTGTCACGTGCTGTGACTCAGAAATGCCACCTTGGACAGACTTCAGGCTGACAGGGAGAGGAAGTGAGGAGGTTCCGACCTCCTTTAGCTCGGATGAACAGGAAGCTCATGTGGTTTTTCCAATGGGATTTGCTTTGGACAAAATTTGGTTAAAGAGAAAGACTAGTCTGAGGCCAGTCAGAAGCTGATTCTAGGGTTCCACACCAGTGCTATTCAGAGCCCTCCATTGGAGAATCCATGTTCTACTGAGCCTTACAACTGACTTCTGAAAAACATTAAAATTTGAGGGTCCGTTGAGCTTTCCCCAAGATGAGGATCCAAAGAGGACATGTGTCTCACTGTCTTATTTATCTTCCCATTTCAAGTCCTGATATCAGAATAGAACTTGTTTTTACTTTGAAAGCATTCACATGTTCAGAGATAGAGCTGTTCTCCTTATTACTCATTCTGGAGATTTGAGTTGTCAGTGACCTCTTTCCCAGGACTAAGTTTCAGAGTGGCCGAGAGTCATGGCAGAGCCAATTGCAGTAACCGAGGCAAAGCATCAGGCTCAGGTTAATCTTCACTGGCCTTGCTGACTCTGGTCTGGCCCTAGCTGGGTCTTCAGTGGCGAGATTCGAGTCACTGAGCTACAGTGCCATGTATTGGCAGTAAGATCACTTGAAGCCTTCCATGGGGTTGCTAAATGGATCTGCCACCAAGTGGCATTAGATACTTCATGTGATCCGAGGTTGCCGCTGTAAAATGACAGAAAGGAATGCCTGTTTAGAATTCTGAGGTTTCCCAGACTGTATAAACATTTCACACAACGCCAGACACAGCAAATGTACTCTGTGTTTGTAACTATTTCTCTAGTTTAATGGAGGGGAAATTATTGAGGACTGGTTACTATGAAGTATAAATTGAAACAAGTCAATTGAAATTCTTTTGTGAGAGTTTGATTTTTCTTTATATAATTTCTCCTGTATCCTGAGATTTGGGAGGAAGACTCTTACTGGCCTTGGATGATTTTGACAGCTTGAATATTTATAGAGGGGAACTGGATTGGGGTGGATGGATTGTGCTGGGATGCAGTGGGAGTCAGTGATGCCAGCATCTCTGCAGGGCACCATGGGACACCCTGCATTCAGTCAGTGCATTCTCACGCAGATCCTCGCTGTCAGCCTTGGGTTAATACATGTTCCTTATCCCTGTTCAATGCTTCAGTGTAACTTATGATAATTCCCATTTAACCAGTAAATTCATGTTGCATAGCACCTACTCCAAAGTGGCATTCCTTTTCATGATTTAACCCGAAATAGTCTGTGAAAGTCTTAGGAACATTAAATCATCTTTCATGTTTAAGAAATATTTTTATTTGGCCAGCACCATGGCTCATTTGGCTAATCATCTGTCTGCGGCGCCGGTACCCCGGGTTCTAGTCCCAGTTGGGGCGCCAGATTCTGTCCCGGTTGCTCCTCTTCCAGTCCAGCTCTCTGCTGTGGCCCGGGAAGGCAGTGGAGGATGGCCCAACTCCTTGGGCCCTACAACTGCAGGGTGTAGGGAGACCAGGAGGAAGCACCTGGCTCCTGGCTCCAGCCGTAGCGGCCACTTGGCGGGTGAACCAACGGAAAAAGGAAGACTTTCTCTCTGTCTCTCTCTCACTGTCTAACTCTGCCTGTCAAAAAAAAATATTTTTATTTACTTGAGATGGGCAGAGAGAGAGAGAGAGAGTGAGTGAACAAGAACGAGAGAACATGCTCCCCTCTACCCCCTCCCTGCTGGTTTGCTTCCCAAATTCCTGCAGTAGCTGGGTGTGGGCCCTGGTGAAGCCGGGGAATCAAGGACTCATTCCTGACCCCTCATGCATGAGCCATCACCCCTGTTCCTTAGGGTCTGTATTAGTGGGATGCTTGGGCGATGCTGGGAGATGGAGCCAGTATTTTTTTTTAAAGGGAGAGGGAGAGAGAGAGAGACTACTGGTTCACTCCCCAGATAGCCACAATGGCCTGGGCTGGGCCAGGCTGAAGCCAGGAGCTTCTTCAGGGTCTCCCACATGAGTGGTGCTTGAGCCATCTTTTGCTGCTTTCCCAGGTGCGTTAGCAGTGTTTTTTAGCTGTTGCTGCAACATACTGTTGTTTGCTACTTCCACCAGCAGCTAGTAATGCAGAATAAATAAAAGGCACCAAAAATTCTTCTATTTTTGGAGTAGCTGTTTGTGGACAAAAGAACTTAATGGCTCATGTAGAAGGTGCACGTTGTCTCACTTTTACCTTTTTGTTTTGGTCAAGTGACTTACAGATCTGAGGACTGGATTGGACTGGTGACTCTAGAAGTGGTAGCCTTTTTTCTGTCACATGAAATGAACACTCCAGCGGTTTAGACAGAATTGGCCTCTTGTTTTGTGTTCTATTTGATGCACATTTCTGAACTCTTTGAAAGGAGTTGATATTCTTAACTGTAGACCAAGAGGAACACATTGACTGGTGTTAGGGGTCAGGAAGTACACTGGGCTCTGATGGGTAAGCAGCTATAGCCGGTGGGCTTTATGGAAAGCCCGAGTTGGCTTTAAGTTAAGTGAGAGTGAGCAAGTGTGTGTTTTGCTCGCACTTGCTCTCCTAGTACTTACTCATGATGGGTCTTATGGAAAGTACATAGCAACCACTTCTCGTCTATAGAATGTGACTAATACCTACCACTTATTTTCAGAAAATTGCATCTTTATCACCAGTCATAATGTCTTCTGTAGAGTAGGCTCTCAGTAAATTAAGACTATTATTAGAAGTCTGTTTAGTTTTTTTTTATGGTAAATGCTATGGAGGACTACCAGATTGAGAAAAAAAAATTGCGTGTGATGGAAAGGGTGTTGGAGTCTTGGGCTGTGAAATCCTTGGGGAGGGCTGTGGGGTGGGGTGGGGTGGGGGAGTCTGATGGCTGTCTAACTCAGTAGGGGCTAATGTGTTCTTTCTCCTGCCCATGATCTGCAGGATGTGGACAAGTGGTCCTTTGACGTCTTTTCCCTCAATGAGGCCAGTGGAGATCACGCACTGAAATTCATTTTCTATGAATTACTCACACGCTATGACCTGATTAGCCGTTTCAAGGTCAGTATCTAACTCAACAGGTAAAGAAGTATACTATTCAGCTTTGCCTATCCTCATGCCACGCGTAGGCCGTGACCCAGAGAATTGTTTCATGTGGTCTGAAAACTAGCCTGGATAACTCAGGGAGCACAGTACGGACAGCCACTGCTGTGAGTTCCTGCATCGGGGGTGCTGTTCGCTGTACCCTTGGTGGTGGGTCTTCCTGGCAGAGGAGAGTCTGTGGAGCCCATGTGGAGCCCTGTCTTCCTGAAAGTGCATTCCCAGACCTGACACAGGCCTGCTACCCTGAAGCTGCTGCCTCAAGTCCCGTTTCCGTCTGACCATGTGTGGTATAGACCACTGCTACCGGAGACACAGTAATGGGGGCAGAGCAAGTACCCACTGGCTCTGTAAACTCATTTTCCTACCGCCTGGCTCATTCAAACAAATACTGTTTTAGCATCTCAGAGATCTCTGGTGTTTCTCAGCTACTTATGCTCAGATTAACTCTTCAACTTTAAAGAGCACAGATCACCTCCCACATTCAGCCCCTCAACCTTCTAACACTGCAGCCTCTTGAAGTTGAGCCAGGTTCTCAAGCTGACCTGTGTATCCATCTGCCTACCTCTGATGGGTCAGCTCCTCACTTCTCACATCAGAGAGATGAGCCTCTGGAAAATGCAGGCCTTTTCCTCTACAACATACTCCTTTATCTGGACAGCAAAGTTCTTTAACATTTTCCTAGGGCTGTGGGTTTGGATATGTATGTCTTAAATGACCATACAGACTTTCCGGACAGGGTCCTGAGGTCCTTCATTTGTTTTGCATCAGAGCCTGTGTGAGAATCCAGCAGCTGCTGGGGACCCTTTGCACCTGCGTTTGCAATGCTCCTGTGCACACACAGCCCTCTCACTGCCTTGTGTTACTCTCAAGAATTCAAGATGCCCGTGTTCATTGAATCTTCATTTTAAAAGTGATGGGTTTGTCTTTGAGTCCTTAAAGATTATATTTAAATTTTTTTAAATCACAGAATGGCAAGTATCACACAATCTCCCTCATATGTAGAGTCTAAAAAGAAAGGTGATCCCACTGAAGTTAAAAGTATAATGGTGAGGGGGCCAGTGTGGTGCCTGCAAGGCCGGCATCCCACGTGGGTGTTGTGTGTGTCCCAGCTGCTCCACCTCTGATCCAGCTCCCTGCTAATGGCCTGGGAAAGCAGCAAAAGACAGCTCAAGTGTTTGGGCTCTTCCCTTCCACATGGAGACCTGGAAGAAACTGTTGGTTTTGGCCTGGCCTAGGGCTGGCCGTTGTGGCTATCTGGGAAGTGAACCAGCAGATGGAAACTCTGTATCTCTCCATTTCTGTAACTCTGACTTCCAAAATAAAATCTTAAAGAAATATATAATGGTGAGGAAATGGTTGAGGAAATATAAAATGGTGGTGAAAGGTTGATTGATGGACACTAGGGTGTAGCTAGAGAGGAGTGAAAAGGTTTGGTATTTCCTTGCACAGTAGAGTGACTACAGATAATGTTCTATGTAGAAGATAGGATTTTGAATGTTACTATAAAGAGAGGTTCAATGATTGAAGAAATAAATTTATTTATCCTGATTGAACATTAAACAACATATACATGTACTGAAACATCAGAGTACCCTATAAATATGTACAGTTTTTGCTGCTCATCACGGGGCAGCAGGTCCGATAGAGCTCCTCAGGGCCAGCCTGGGGAGTTCAGGGGCCAAGCAGGATGATGAGTGTCGGCAGCAAAGGAACCACACCAGAGCCAGGAGATCAGTCAACGCCCAGGGCGCAGCCGGATTCTTGACTTTATTGGGAGGGGAAGAGCTTTTATAGACACAGAAAGGGGGCTGTCCAGGGCACAAGGAAACCAAGCCAACCAGCAGAAAGGTAAGGCAGGACATGAACCGGGCACGTCCTCAAGGGCCTATCACAGCCGAGGACTCATACTGTTCACGAATACGGAAGTCTCCTGTCAGGCTAGGTACCTCCCCTGGGGACCATCTTAGATTGTTGGAAACGCTGAGTCACTGAGATGCGGAAGTGCGGCAAACTCATGCAAAGGCTTTGTGGAGCGAAGGGTTAGCAACTTTGTTTCCTTTTCGATTGGAGCCCCCCCCCCCGCAAGTTTTTACATGTCAAAATTTAATTTTTTAAATCCACAAATGGAAATCCTGGAAGAATGTGCCCAAGGAAACAGTCATGGAACCTTGGAAGCATTACATAGCGTTGCCCTTATTTTTCTTACTAGGGTCATTGTTAGTCTCCTTTTCTCCCAGCTTTAAATGGGACAACCTACCTTAAACCCTGAAATTGATCCAGGAAACTAGGACAATGCATTTTTCTGGCTCCCGTTATTTTGTTCTGCCTTTTGCAATTGTTCTTCACTCTCTGCCACATAGAAAAGGAAGCCAAGTATGCTTTATGTATTTGAGGTGAAAAAATCATTAGGATAGTTGGAGATATTATCCTGACTTTCTGATAGTTTCACATCTTTTATTCATTGGGAAATGAATGAACATATACTATGCAGCATATCTCCTTTGTGTGGAGAAAGATAAAGTATACAAATATCTTAAAATATGAAATTATAAAACAGGCACAAGATGCCCCCAATATTGATAGAAAGATTGACTTTCTGAAAACCATGTCCTTTAAAAGGACCATTTGGGAGCAGGTGTTGTGATCTCATGGGGTAAGCTGGCCCCTGTGCCACCTGCATCTCATTTCAGAGTGCCTGGTTCAAGTACTGGCTGTTCTGCTGCCCACACAGCTTCCTGCTCATGTGCCTGCAGAGGCAGTGGATGATAGCTCAAGCCATTCATGTGGGCGATCTGGATGGAGTTTCAGGCTCCTCCTGGCCCAGCCTTGACTGTTGGGGGCATCTGGGGAGCAAACCAGTGGATGGATGATTTCTTCTTTTACTCTCCCTTTCAAATAAGTCAATCTTAAAACACACACACAAAAAAATGTAAGTTGAATGTATTGGTCACATGCAAAACAGAAATGAAAAAGAAAAAAAGCCTTAAAACCCCAAACCATAATGAGATAGTCTGTTATATAAGGAAATAGGAACAAGCTATGTTCTTAACGTTTATTACTTTGCAATTCATTATTGGTGACTTGCGGTTGGGAAGCTCTCATTTCACTGATACTACATGAGAAATAGTAAGTGATTCCATAAACTGGTGCTAATTCTTAGTGTTATTTCTAGGTTCCTCAGTATCGTTTATAACTCTTTGGTGTCTTGTGTACCACCTCTTCTCCCTGGGATTAGGGGAGAAGAGTATTTACGGGGAGATGTATAAGTAGCATAGTCCCCAACAAAAGTGTTCCTCATGTGCCTCCAAAACCATGGCTTTACATGTCAATGTTTTTGAGCTGATTGTGTGTCATTCTCCCAGGTCTCTGAACTGCAGAACAAAGAACAATTTTCAGGGTTGACTATTCCTGAATCTGGGGCTTCTTGTTCAATTTTCAGATGATCTGATAATGTCCCTGGTGACTTGCATTAACTGTGTGAAGTCCTAACTGATAGACTGTGCCTCTCGAAAGGCACAATGTGCCATAGAATCTTTTTAAAACTTAATATCTTATTTATCTTTTGAGATAACATTTTTATTTACATTATAGTCAAAGGCTTAATACTCTACTAAATAAAGAATATAACAAATGAAAGGTAAGAGCACCATAGCCCAGCAAGAAAAGGGCTATAAACAATTAAATGAAAAGGTGCTCAACTTCACTCATACATTTTAAAATAGCCACAGAGCATTTAAAGTATGGTAGTCTGTAATTTGTATCAGTTTGTTTGATAAAGATTTAAAACAAGACTTGAGAAGATACTATATTTGCAGTAAAACTGAAATATGACGGGCAGTTACAAAATTAGCTCCTACATATAAGGGAGAACATATTGTGTTTGTCTTTCCACATGTGGCTTTTTCACTCAGCGTGCCCTCTAGTTCCAAACATTTTGCCACAATGATAGGATTTCATTATTTTTTTATGGCTGAATAATATATGTACATATACTATATGTGAGGAATATATGTATATACCTATATACATACAATATATATGTATATAATATATATATATTATTTATCCATTCATCTGATGATGGATACCTTGGTTAGTTCCATGTTTTGGCTATTGTGAACATGGTAGAGCAAGTATCTGATACAGTGAGCTCATGTCTTTTGGGTTTGTAGTGAATTACCCTTGCTGCTGTCTTTCAGATCCCCATTTCTGCCCTTGTCTCATTTGTGGAAGCCCTGGAAGTGGGATACAGCAAGCATAAAAATCCTTACCATAACCTGATGCACGCGGCTGACGTGACGCAGACTGTGCACTACCTCCTCTACAAGACAGGAGTAGCGGTGAGTACAGCCGGGGACTCTTAGAATATGCAAAAGGTGTCATGATGGAAATCGTAGATATTCCCGTCCTGATGAGGTTGAGCCCCCAAGAGAATGTTGTCCTGTGGACTTCCTACTTCTGAGGGTTATTTATCCTTAATGGAGAACTTGGAATTCCCTATTGCCTCTGGAATATTCTCTATCCCATTTAATGAAATCGTTATCTGGTTATGACTCGTATCCTCATTAGGTTATACCTTATTAAAATAAAATTACTGAAGCTAAACCAAATACATGTTTCCAGATCTGGAGAGGGGTTCTCTTAGCCTCTACTATACTAACAATAGCATTCACAACTACTGAAATTGTACCGAATAGACATGGCAACTATGTTACATAAAGTGAGTTTTTGCCTTAAGCACTATACATTTTATTTATTCACATTTTATTAACATGAATTTGGTATATTTTAAGCTCAGGCTTCATCTTTACTTCTAACCATTTGATTCCTTTCTTCCCTGCTCTGTCCCAACATTTCAGCTCAAAATGTTTTGGACCTCTGTTCTGTAATCCACATTATCAGCTGGTCTATCCAGCTCTTATCTGTGCCAATACCTTCTTGGCCCAGATATAAGTCACTCATTTTAAAAAACAAAGCTTCCACTGACAAGAACAGGTCTCTATGACATATTTTGAAGTCTCCTTCAGAATGGACATCCAGGGAGACGGTCTGTGCTATGGTTATCAATTAGCCTATAAGCCCAAAGCCCATTTGTTATCGTTTCCACTAGGGAGTGTTGAAGGACTGTCTCATATCTCACTGGATTGAAAATAGAAAATGGTGGGAGGAGTGAGGGCTTTGGAGCTAGATATAGTGGATCTAAATCCCGGCTTAATTACTTTAGATTTTGTGACCTATGATAAATTACTTGAGCTCTGAGTCAAGATTCTCATTTTTGAAATAGTGAAAAGCATTTCAACTTACAGAAGTGCTTTGATGGTTAGGATATTTGATGATTAGGAATAAAGTGCCAAAAGTATTAAGTACTCTGCTTCAGTTGGAATTATTATGAAAACATTGAAGTCTTTTCCCAAAACCTCTATCTTTTCAGTTCTTCACTTCTAAGAACTTATTTCTTACAAATATTTATAAAGGAATTTTTAGAATTATACAAACACGGGGCTAGGATTATGGTGCAGTGGGTTAAGCTGCCACTTGCAATGCTTATATTTCGGTATTGGAGTCTCGGCTGCTCCGCTTCTGATGCATTGTTCTGCCAACATGCCAGGGAAGGCAGGAAATGATGGCCTAAGTCCTCGGGCCCTTGCTGCCCCCATATGGGAGACCTGGCTGACACTCAGGGCAGCATATGAGAGATTTCTCTTTCCATCTCTCCATCTCTGTCACTCTGCCTTTCAAATAAGTAAATAAATAAGTAAACAATTACAGAAAACACTACAAGGGGAACCTGGTTAGCTTGCCAAGGGCTTTATATCAGGAACTTAGAGCAAATGTCACATGTAATGGTAGTTCTGTGAAAGCATAGAGTAGAATAAAGAGGTCCACATTAACGTTGCTTTTCAGGGGTGGGTGTTTGGCACACCGCTTGGGACACACCCACATCCCATAATAGAGGGTCTCAGTTCAGGTCCTGGCTCACTTCTGCCCCCAGCTTCCTACTGAGGCATGCTGGGGTGGGCTGTGGGGGGGAACAACAGGTGATGGCTCAAGTATGTGGCTTCTGCCATGCACATGGGAGGCCTGGACTGAGCTCCTGGGCTCCTGGCCCAGTTCCATCCACTGTAGAGGCATCTGGGGAGTGAACTGTAGGTGGTCCATCTCCATCTCTCTACTTTTCAAGAAAACAATTAACAATTAATTCTGTTATTGATATTTCTGAGGTTTCAGGTAATGCAATATGATATCTAGATCTAATTTAGATTTTTTTCTGAGATCAAATGAAAGACCAATAAAATCTAAGTTAAAAAAAGCTATTCTCAATATAGGAAATTTATAGTTGTAAATATATCTAATTATAGATATTTTAAACTTAGAAATATATAAAGAATTTCAAAACTGATAAAAAGGGAACTATAAAAACTAAAAGGTCTCCATTTAAATGAGAGAACACCATAGTTTTAAAGTGAAGCCTGCCTCAGTACTGTATAATTGTCAATTTCCCTAAAACTAATCTATAAATTCAAAACACAATATCAGTCAAATGTCCAAAAGGATTTAACAAACATAACCTGGGTCTGGAATTCATGTAACGTATTTCACAACCTTAGAGGATAATTTAATTTTTAATTTTTTAATATATGGGAAGGTATTTCTTACTGTACAAATTGAAATATCTACTGAAGTTATAGTTACATATGGTGTTTGTGAAAACAAATTTATGAGTGAAACTGATTAGTATAAAAAATGAACTCAAGTATTGATTGTATACTTATTATGTGCTAGGATATCGTTTTTCCAGGATGCTATAGGCCAAATGTTTGTGTCCATCCAAATTTCCTGTGTTGAAATCCTAACCCCTAATGTGATGCTATTAGGATGTGTGGACTTTGGGAGGTGACTGGGTCATGGAGGTTGACCTTCATGAATGAATTAGTGCTTTATAAAGGTGGCCCCATAGAGCCACATTCCCCCTCTGCAGCTGTGTGAGGACACAGCCAGGTTTAATTGGTGAGCCAAGAAGTGAGCCTGTGCTAGACACTGGATTTGATGAAATCTTGATTCAAGAACTGTGAGAAATTAATTTCTAGTATTCATAAACTATCTGTCTATAACATTCAGTTGTAACAGCTCAGACAGACAGACACAGGATGAAGTTACATCAGTATTCTTGTAGAACTTACGTTCTAGCAGGAGGTTGCAGATAGAAGAAATCAGTGAAAAAAGTAACAAGTACCACTAATAATCTGCAGAGAATTAAAATAGAGGAGCTACCTAGGGAAAGCTCTCCAGAGGCAGTATTTAAACTGAGTTAGTCGTGGTTTGAGGCTGTAGCCCTGTCGAGTGCTGGAGATTGTCAGCAGTTAGTGCAGAGTTGGTCCAAAGGCCTTAGTGCGAGAACAGCTTGGCTGGATTTGCAGAGCAGAAATAAGGCAAGTGTGGTGAGAATGGCACACGGGGAGACAGTGCTGCAAGAGGAGATGGGAGAAGGTGGCAGGAACAAGACCAAGTCTGGCTTTATGGGCCTGGTAATGAGTTCCAATTTTATTCTAAATGCAATGGAAAGAAGGATTCTAGATAGGGGAGTGATGTGATCTAGTTATAAGAGGATTGCTACGGAGAATGGCTTTTGGGGTAGCCTACTGGGAGAGTACTGGCAAAGTCTAGTGAGACACAGTGGCTGTGAGAGCTATGAAGAGCTTTGCTGGAATGGAGAAGAAAATTCTGCTTCTGTGTAGAGCGAAAAGGACTAGGTGGTAGCTGTGATTTGCAATAACTAAAAGAGGAAATTGAGAGAACTTCTTAGATTGTTGGCTTGATACATAGGCCTGGTGAAAGGGCATATTTTGAGGGTAAGGCAATCAAGTTTTGACTTAGATAAAGAGTCCAAGATCCCTATCGGACTTCCATGAGGAGCTTTCAAGCAGGAAGGAAACGAAAGCAATCTGGATTTCTGGAACAGGTCGGGTGGACACATGGGTTAGGGAGAGATACGCAACCAGACAGGACTTTGGAAAGAAAGCATGCCACCAGTCAAGTAGAAGAGTTTCTGACGTGATCCCGGGAGCATCTGGAAGTTTAAAAACGAAGGCAAAACATAGAATCAACAACAGTAACTAACAAGGATTGGCTGATGACAGAGGGACAATGTCCATGGAAACCAAGGAGAAAGTGCTTTAAGAAAGTGGGACACGTGGAGGTTTGGGAATGGTATGGCTGGAGAAGTGACCATTGGCCTTGGGAATACAAAAGGCATTGTTGACCTTGAGATGTGCAGTCCCAGTGGTTTGATTAGAATGGAACACTGTCTAGTGTGTAATGGAGCAAGAATCAGAGGTGAAAATGTAAGAACACGTCCACGGAGAGCAATGTTGTGGGGCAATTTAGTCAGTTCACAAAAATGTTTTGAAACATTTTGGAACAGTTGTTCATTTGAAGGAAACAGAATGTTTTTGTTCTTCATTCACCAAAAAAACCTGACAAATGAATTAAAGATGTAAGTGCAAAAATTAAAATTTGATCATACTACAAGAAAATATGAGTATATATATTTTTGAAAAAGGAACTTCTTTCTTAAGTAAGCCTTAAAACACAGAAGCTGTAGAACACAATATGGACTCTTTGGTGTGCATTAAGGTTAAAAGTATAGGATGAAAGACAAAATAATGAAGTAAGCACTAGGAGAAACTACATGGACAAAGATTCAGGTGATATAAATAAATCAACAAAATTATACAGGTTTAGTAGACAAAGAATATGAACAAGCAATTAAGAGAAATAATGTGTTTGATCAATAAATGAAATATGAGAATGTATACAACTCTTTAGTATACAAATGTATATGAACAAGATAACCTGTTTTTCATTCATTATATACATATGGAAAAAGATTGGAAACTTGCTGGTTGTTCTTAGGATTTACAGCAGGGTTTCTCAAACTCAGCACTGTTGCTGTGTTGGTCTGGATAATTCTTTGTTCTATGCATTGTAGAATAATTAGCATTAGTTAACTAGTGGCCTCTACCCACTGGATACCAGTAGCACTATCCCCACTTTCAGTTGTGGCAATTGAAAATATCTCCAGTTCTGGCCACATAAATCCAGAGTGGTGGTAATGGGGGCAGTTGTCCCAGGTTTAGAACCCACTAATTTAAAGGAAATTATATGCTACTCATGAGAGTGTAATACGGGAGTAGTCATTGAAGAAACAATTTTGATGTAGTTAGTGTAAGGAAAAATATGCATACCAATGCTCTATCACTTGCAAGTGTCTACAAGGAGGCATTGTGTAAGGCAAACATAACTTTATATCTGCATTAATTTATTTATAGAAATAAAGCTT